TTGTGTTGTGTTTTACTGTCTTCAAAATAATACAAAAAAAATTTTTTAAATCAAATTACAACAATGCCAATGAAGTGGCAGGGCAAAAAGAAGCACTTCTATTTTATTAATGGGAATGTAAACTAGCAGTCATTATGCGAATTGTATAAAGATTCCTCAAAAAACTAAAAATAGCAGCTCCATTTGACCCAGTTATCCCACTTCAAGTAAAAATTAATGACATCGTATTAATGTAAAGTTCATACTCATGTTTATAGCAAACCAACTCATAATAGCTAAATATTTGAAGCATCCTGATGTCCATCGACAAGTAAATTGTTGAAGACATCATGATATTTTGCACAATATAGTACTTATCAGTCATAAAGAATGTAAATTTGAGTCATTTTTAGGAAAAAGAATGCACCTGAGCCCACAATGTTAGATGAAATAAATCAAACACACCAGTTTAAATATCGCAGCATTCCTCTCTTATGGGAAAACCAATGCATAAATAAATTAGAGAGCAAAAAGGATACTTAGTAGGAAACACAGAAACATGTTTTGCAAAACAGAAAAGGACCAGGAAATAAAGGGAGATGTAAGAGGGGAAAAGGAATGGAAAAAGAATTAAAGTGTATTATGTGCATATTCAGGCAGCCATGATGAATGTAATTATTATGTACAGCAATATTGTACTAGTAAAAAAATCTAAAAGACAAATTTGAACTGAATAATTAAAAACAACAAAAAGTAAATTTAACAAAATTATCTTGAAAGTGTAAAGAAGAAAAATGTAAGCCAGGTGATTCAGTGAGCCAGTGTTACTTTTTGTGAGCAAGAAAGAGAATGTTCAAGTCAGTAGCTTTTACCTAAAAATCCCTCTCCCACTTTGCCCAGCCTGTGAAAGCTAAAGCACATTTTAAAGCAAGTCATCCTCTTTCTTTTTAGATAAATGCAAATATGGAAGTACCATGAGAGCAAGAATAATGATCTGTATCAAGCATTTAGAAGATGCTTCCATAGTTTTGGGATATATGTAAAACTGACCAGTTCCCAAGAAAGAAATTGTTGCGCCCAGTGGGTGGGGGGAGGGTGCTGCTCTTGTGAGGCCTTCAGCAATGACCCTTGGCCTCTCCTAGAATTCAGCAAAGAGTGAAGGAATGAGGCACTTTGTAGAAAATGATAAAGTCAAAACTGATATGATATGAAATGAAAGTTTTTTAAAGTGTGACACATGCAGAGGAAGACAGAGAAAAACTATTTTAACAGCAGAGTAGGCAGCAAATTCCCAAAAGTCCCACTTGGGATGCCCAGTTGGTGTATGTCTTATTACAGGCGTGAACTGGTTTCTAAATTAACTGTTTCACTGATTGGTGTTGTCTGGGGCAGTCAGAATCTTAGCCTTTGTTTCTGGGAGGGAGACTATGTCACTTGGAGATTCTTTAAGCATGTAGTAAATGTGAGTAACACTTTCACAAGAAATATATTTCTCAAGCATATGATAGGCTACATTTCTCAAGCACGTGGTTGCAGATAAGCAAGTGAAGATTTTACATTGTCAGCCATCCAAGTCTTGATCTACGTTTTTTGCCTATTAACCCTCTAATTTGTCCCTACAACACTATGGATGTTAAATTCAAACATTCTGGAAAATGTTTAAGAAGTAGATCTCTAGAAACAAAGAATGGAAAAAACAAACAAAAAGCACCACCACTAGGAACTGATCATTTTCTGTAATGTTTTCATGGCAAGTTATAAGCTACACTGGCCCACGCAGCTCCTGAAAAGTTACCGATCTTCTGTAGTCAGCGAAAGAGATTGCTGTAGCTTACCTTCCTTGCCAAATAAAGAACTGCATCTTGTGCATCATATAGATTTCTTTGTTAAAAAATAAATCTGTTCTTAAAAGTTGTAGTTTTTGAAATATTCTTGATAGATTTACAGAACTCCTTAGTATCTGGTGCCCTTAATTACATACTTAGTAATCAATAATAAGATAACTATCCTTGGTTCTGGACTGAAGAGCAAACACTGAACCCAGGCTTGATAAAGAGACATCTGATAAATCCTGAGCAAAACCAAGAGCCAAATATAGGTCTGTATATGGGGTCCCCTCAGAGCTCTGCTTTTTTATAGATGTAAGATGTGAGTGCTTTTTGAGCCAAAAGAAGTTCTTTTTTAAAATATGAGAGATCCATTTATTTAAATCACAAAATGTGTGCTCCAAAGATGCAATCAGTCTTTCTAGTGTGTATATATCATGTAGAACCCCCATTTTACACTAGCACTAACCTCAGGCATGTGTGTGTTTCATACAGAGAGCTGTCTTCATGCTCCAGGTAACAAAAGCCAATCAAAATCCATGGTCCGTTCATGGCAACTCTGTTTTTCCACCCCACTCCAAATGATTCATACGTTAGTCTCCACGGAAACTAATAAAGGAAGACAACCATGCAAAATGAGAAACTTAAGTGTGACAAATAACTATAATGTAATAGGTCTTCATTGTTTGTAGTCCTAATTGAAGAGCACCTTATAACCATGAATATAACTTATGCTACAAAGAAACAATCACAAGAAAATGCAGTTGCACTAGGCACAAATATAGCACTTATAATTTGCATGGTATGAACATGAAAATTTTTGCATTTTTATTGTCGTAGTGACCCTGGAAGACAAATAGGGAAGAACTGACATCTCCAAAATTTACTATGAATACTCAAGTAGTATGCACACTTAAACTTGTACTTATGTGTGTAAGTTTCTGAAGCAAAAAAAAAATCTGAAATTAATGGTCCTTAATTATTTACAAAGTTGGAAAGAAATTAAATCTAAATTTGACTTATGGATTTTCTCTTGTATGCAGAAACCCAGTTGTAAAATTTCCACCATCTAAGAAAAAGAAAGGATGGAAAGAAGGGAAAAAAGAAGAAAAGAAGAAGGAAGGCAAAGACAGAGAGAGAAAATGACACATAAGATAAATGTCCACACAAAGGATCAAGAGTGTAGCTCTTGCTTTTCCCCATGAAATATATATCCCCTAAGTTTATAAGCAGAAAAATTCTTTTGTGAGCCTCATTGGATGAGAAAGGTAAAAGATGTTGGTCTACTCAACAAATGTACATTGAGACCATAAATCGGGTACTGTAAGACTTACACAGGGGGTTTCTTTCCTCCCACCAGGAGGACAAGAACTCCACCTGACCCCAGCTTTGCCTCTTTATTTTCTCATCCTCTCACCATCCTTCCCCCAGGAACATCTAAAGCTGGAGCCAGTCACTACATAGGGCGCCCACACTGGGACCCGAGTGAGGGGACACTTCTCATTTGTGCCTAGCAGCAAGAAGTGAACAGGTACTCAGTACTCATCAGTGGAGTGAACTGATAGTGACACTGTCAGGTGTAAAAATCAGGGACAAAAAATGAGTCCATTAGAGTTAGAAAAATGAAAACCGAAAAAGCTAAGGATAGATAGGCTTGAGGGAAACCAAAGTCAAACAGGCTTAAGAGAATTCAAAGGGAAAATCGGCTTGTAAGAAACCAAGAGAAAGAAATGTCTTGTTTTTACCAGCTGTTAGATATGGGGCAAATACGTTCTAAGAACTCACAGATGTATATGGAACTCTTGGTGGTGTGCTCAATCTCAATATTTACATTTTTGTGGTGGATTTGGATTAGACAGGGTCTTAATAATCATAATAAATTTCTTGGGACAATTAACCTGTAAAACTCCTAACAGTCAACATTTCCTTTCATGTGTTGATAATAATCTGGCTCCAGCATATCACATCTCACTGTGGCTCTACAGTGAGTTTTGATATCTGGTAGTGTAAATTTCAAACTCTGTTGTTTTTCAAAATCGTATACTTCACAATTTCTTCACAACTACGGCTTCAAATTCATGATTAATGTAACTCTATGTTTATTTAGATAGTTTTGCTTTTTTATATTTATTTTTAACCTTCAATTCACTGACACTACACAGCTTGCTAAATTTTGTGAGTTTGTTTCCAGAAGAAGGAATTTTAAATTTACATACTTGGGAGGAAATGGAAAACAGCTTAGATCAAGGCTAGTGAAAATACAAATCTATCTGAACCTCTACAGACTATTAAGGGTTATTTAACTGGGGGAAACTGCTGCGTTGTGCTCCTCTCACTACTTACTGCAGAGGAGGGAACCAAAGAGCTCCACCACCTGGAGTTTGGCCAGGCAAGGGAGGGAAATAATGTTACTTGTTTCAGGTGCAAGTGTGAAATGTTAGAGTTTAATGTAATATGTTGTTTATATTCGTTATTTATATTCCTATAGAACCAGACAATACTGGTTTCTAAGGATTGTTAAATCTGTGTTAAAATACTCAGTTGTAGAAAGTTAAAAATAAGCATGCTTTTGTAGCTAGAAACTAGTTTAAAGCAATGTGCATGGTTGCCCAGTTGAAAATGATTAGTTGGGAATGGTTGATACAATGTATCAACTTGAAGTTTGGAAACTTGGCTGAGCTACTTGGTGGGAGTTGAGTTCTCATTTTGTAAACATTTGTGCCCTGTGCAGGAATGGGGCACAGAGATGGTGTGCCTGCTGCCTGCTTGCAGTGTAGTGGGGAAAGGAGCTTTATGCTTCCCTCCTTAGCTCTGGCTACTTTTGCTGTCTTCCACAGCTATGAACTGTGACTCCCTTAGACACTGTTCTGCAGGCTTCTGATTCCATGCCACCTTCCATCACAATGCTTCTGCCTTATGCAAACAGCTCCATTAACCCAGACACAGGCTAAAAATTTCTTAACTTGCTCAAAATTTAATTACAACAACAAAAAAGGGGAATTTTATCTAGACTTCAGTATGTACTATTAAACTTGTGAATCCTGCTAAAGATGAAACTATAACAGCAGCAGGACTATTCAGTCAGGTAAAGAAAGAAACCAGGAAGGGTCCTTCAGAAAGACTTTCATACTAGACAATGGATGGGCTCCAGCTCAGTACTAATTTGGGATCAAGGGTATGCTTGTGTCTTTCCAGGAAATGTTAAATGGCCTATCTGGTTGCCTGAGTGTGCTGTCTGGCTGTATCATGGACCCAAAGCCAGAGAACGAGTTGATTCCACCCTCTCAAGAAGCTGATGCTCAGTCCTATGACGGTGATGCCTCAGAGACCATACAACAACTGACAGAAAAGTATGAAGCTAGAACCAACCTTAATTGACCCAGGATGTCCAAGAGATGGTAACCAAAAATAAAACCAAAGGTCTAAATAGATGATAGAAGTGTGTGCTAATTCCTATGCCAAAAATATCGGTTAATTATAGGTAAGATTTTGTCCTTTTCAAATTCTTTTTACGAGAGATCTCTGCTAATTGACCTACTACAAATCTGACTATATTCTGTTTATAGTTATAAATTCTACAATTGCAAAAAGTTAGTGTAATTCAATTTGGCTACCATATATTTGAATGCACTCTGATTGGGTAAAATGTTTGTCAGTTTGTCTGTGTACATGTTTCTTCTGTCTGTTCTTCTGGTCTGTTAAGCAGTTGTTGGAAGTCAACTGAATTAGTGATTGTTCACACGTGCAGAGCCAAAAGCACAAGTGCCTGTACAGAAGTGCCCAGGTGTCACAGACCATCTAAGAAATGCCCTGAGAGCATGGGGTGCTGGAGGTGAGAGGTGTTCCAACCTCAAGAACATGGGGTATAAGAAGCAAGCTAGTTCAGCAAAGAGGCATGAAACAAGTGTATAAATTGGCCTTGGGAACTTAGAGAATTCTTGTGGACACAAACAACTCTGCTTGTTTCTGGGTCTGTTAGAATCTATATAGATTGTCTGTCCATGTTTGTCCACTTGTCCTTTCTGTAAACAGTTGTTCTTTTTTATTTGAGCTCAACAATTTTTTCTTCCTTTTTTTAAATTTTTAGATCATCTCATCAAAATATCATTGGAGTAATAGACTTAAAAAGCATGTTTCTGCTCAGTTCAAATGATGCTACAATTGGTTGGAAAATGTAAGGTACATTGTTGTTTATTATAACTTGAGAATCTCTCATTGTTCAACAGTATGTTAAATGTTATGATTGGATTTTTCTTAAGTCATCAAAAAAATTATTAAGATGATTAAACAAAATCCCTTGGGGGGGGAGAGATTATTGGACAGGACTTCAATTGATGAATAAGAAAACGGCCACCTAGTAACATTTAACCAGCTCTTGTTCATTGATTATTGATCATTGATAGCCTTATTAGAGATACCCCAATTAAAGTTATAAAAATATATTCTTGTAATATGTTCACATTGTTCATCAGAAAAAATAATAATACAATAAGGCTTCTGATCTAAAGGTGCCCATACAAAACTTTTCATGTGGCTATGACAGATTGCTATTAACCTTATAGTGTATCATTGTATTCATGATTCAAGATGTACAGGTTTCTCAAAATATAAAACAGGGATTGTTTATAGTGATAGAATATTGTTTCAGATTCAGACTTCTGCCTATAATAAAAACTTACAAGATGTACATCCTACTAATGGTAACCAAGTTAGGTAAAAGGTTATGTATTAGATAGAGATGATGGACTAAAAGGAGATATTGGGTGTCAAATGAAAATTCATACATGTTATAAAATGTCATAAGATTGCCATACTATAATGTTGTATATGGGTTGGATTTCTAATTTTCTGTGTAAAATATGTAACTGTTAACATTCGATAGGTATTCAAATGTTAAAACATCCATGGTTGTTAAAAAATAAAGTTCCATTTTATATTCTAAGATGCTTGATATTTAGATAAGATAGTAATGTTAAGCTTACTGCCTCTACTACATTGTTATCAATCTTTTCTTCTGGATATGCAACAGCTGAGGTTTAGAGATAAAAAATAAGACAGACAGAAAGACTAAGACGACAGCTAATATTTTGGCCCTAGCTTCCTGAGATCAATGAGAGTCCAGGGCATTACAGAATCTCTGCTGCAATGTCCTGTACTCAGTGAGTCCCTAGTCTTCTGATCAAGAAGATTATGATACCACAGAGGAAAATGATCACCAGTGTGTGGAGTGCCTATGGAGAATCACCAGGAAAAAAGGTCTCCCAAGCTTTCACAGAAAGCAGCTTGATCAAACAGTGGCCATCATTCATCCAGACAGAAAGCTGAGAGATGCTATGCATGGTACCAAGGCATTTACTGTAGAGGAGACTTAACTGACCTTGGTAGATAACAAAAACTGGTTGTTTTTAAAACAGGTCTCCTTAAGTTGGTCTTTATGTCCTGCAGAAAACATACAATTACTAGAGATATATAAAACAATGCTAAAGTAGTACGCTATAAAAGAAACTCAAGTCACCTAATACCTCCTGACAATTGCCAGCTACACTGATAGCTGTCTATTGTTATGGATTAATGGACTGTACAGGGTTTCAATTGCAGAATGCAGGAACTTAAAATCCTGGGACTGCACTTAAAATGAGAACTGTTCAACAATGAAGAGATCTTCTACACAGTTCTTCAAATACAACTCCTCCAGCTTCGACTGACTCCTCATCCTGTTCTACAACAAAACAAAAAAGAGGGATATGCAGGGAGCTGTTGAAGCCAGATTGATCACATGTGTGGGGCTAAAGCGAGGCCATCCCAGAAAACACAGAAAGCCTCAAACAAGCTATATCAACAAGCTGTTGCAACACCAAGAAGGCAAGGGGCCCAGGCCAGCCAGGAAAACAAGTTTCTAGGCAGTGGGCTTGAAGCTGACATTTTCTTTGAGTGTATAAATAAACATGCTACAGTGGTTGAGCAGTTCCTTTGCTCCCAAGAGGAGGCTAAGTCCTCCACTGAGCTCCCTCCACCCAAAAAAGACTTGCACAGAATCCATTCTTACTTAACGATATTTTGGGGAAAAAAAAAACTAGTGTGATATTCTACCTAGTGTTTACATGACTAAGATGCTAAGCAAATTAGGAAATAAGTAACTTTCTGTTACCATACTTAAAGGTGGTATTCATTAAGGACAGGCTAAGCTTGGATCTTTTAGAAGATGAGGATCATGTTCCAATAAAAGGGAGATGACAGCTTTTGAATCCATATATAAAATAGCTACCTCTCATCTGGCACATTCATTTCACTATATTTTGAGATGCTAACATCCTCCTTCACTATAGACAAACCGTAATTTCTGAGACTACCAGACATGACAGAGCTTAATTGTTATTATGTCTGCAATTCAGAAATATGTCTACAAGCTTCCAACTGAATAAATAAAATTCTGATTTTCCTAATGTTTGAATTTTATTTTATTCCTTCTTCTGAAATTTTCAGTTTTGTAAGTACCTCAGAAACAGACACTAAATATTTTGTTCAATTTAAACTGAAATTGATTAGCACACAAAACAGCTGAATTCATTGGATCACAAGATTTAGTCTCTTGATTCTTGCTGTGTATATGTGGGAGTAACTTCCACAAGTGTCCTATGATTAACTAAACTTGTGTTTCATTTTTAACCTGCAAATTTTAGCTATTTGAATAACGTCATGGGCATTAATATATTACATTTTTTTTCCTTCTTAAAAACTTGGTTGGAATTCTAGTATTTCAAATATTTACTGGATTGACAGCAGCCCTGATCACAGATAGTAATGAGCATTTCTGCACATTATCTATAACACTGGAGACACTGCTCAAAAAGTTCTCAGCTCATACATTCGATGTCTGTAAGAAGGCATGGCAGAGACAAGTCTGTGTTCTCTGAAAAATTGAATTGCTTAATCTCGGAAGCTTTGTTCAAAAGCTACTCATCTAATAACTGTCAGACGGTGTATCCCAATACAATTCAGAAAATGTAGTACAAACCCTTGGATTTTTACAATCTGCATGGAGCAGAGGAAGGTTTACATAAAACCTCTTAATAACCATAGCACTGTACATAATTGATAGTTATAAATTGAAAAGTCCAATATGTCCTTTGTGTGCCTTGGCGGCTCTGATGGCTTTCATTTGTTTTTCTGTTCTTCCTATTTACTAGATTTTTTTTTTAACAGGATCTAAGAGATTTTTTTAAATTGAGTTGCCCAAAAGCTACTATGGAAGCATATTCTGGTCATATCAGAGCAGTTTCAATACCACAGTTTAGTGTTTTTAATAATAAAACTGATGTTTATTTCTCTTCATGTATGAAATAAGGATGTGTGCACAACTCTACAGCCTGTTTTTGACAATTTCAATCGCCCTGTGAATTTTCTGTTGAATCATATAATTCCAAGGAATTTCAATTCTAGTTCCAATTCCAACTTCATTATTCTTCCAGAGAAAAACAAACAGTACTGCTCTTTCGAGTTAGACAAAGAGCGTAACAAAGGTGGGTAGAGGGAAACCAAGAGTGGAGTGCTCTGAAATGGGAAGGGATCCAGCAGACCTAAGGCAGAAAGGGAAGCAAGAAAATTTAAGAGAGGCCACCTACACCGATAACCGATAACCTCAATGAGTGTAAATATTTAATGTCACAGACATGAGCAGAGGATAATACCAATGAAAATGGGGAAAGAGAATGTAGAGACAGACGGAGACAGTTGGGTACAAAGGCAAAGGGAATTTTAAAAAGAACCAAGCTATATTATGTACCGGTACCCACTCCCTAAAATAAATGTAAATTTCATGCACTGCAAACATGGGACAATAAAGTAAAATAATAAACTCAATGCATGTATTTTATGAAGTAACATACATATGAGTATATCCTCAAAATATGCATTATCTTGCTCTGAAATACACACATTTAAAAAAATCAAAGCCACAACAGACATTTTAAATTTTCACTTTTCAAAAATATGCCAAGAAAAGTAAAAGTCTTTCTCTTTGCTTTCAGGAAATATGCATGCGTTACAGACAGTACAATCCATGATTGGCAGCACAAATAAAAAGATGTAAAATTTTGCACAATAACATAATGAGTAGTTTGGTGTAGATGTAATGAGAAGCTTCTGTTCTCATCTTCCAAAGGCAACTTTTCTTTAAAAGGAGAGATTTTGATGCCTTATATAATTTATCTTGGCTTTTGACTGTGTGAGGATTATACTTCAGTGAGTGACATTTTGCTGTCATCACTTTCTTAGTCTGTATTATCTCCTAGATCCTACAATGCTGCATTATATGGAAGATAGCCATGCCAGAGCCATCTCTGCCACCAAGTCACAGCTGCAAGGCCAGTCTCTGCTTAAAGCACATCATAGAGCAATCAGCAATTGAGAATAACAAAGGGCCCCTATAATGTGTCCAGTGTTTTTTCTCTATAAGCATTATCTGTTCCTTCTGCACCATCTGCACCAGAACCATGAAGGTGGTTATGATGCATGAAAAAAAAATCCCTATTAGATTGTCAGGAATTTCAGTGCAAGAGTCTGAATTTCTGTATTTTGTGGTTAAAATTCCTTTTTATATTTGCCACTGGAAATAAGTGCCCGGTAAAGCAAGGAATCAAGAAAGAATGATGCATTTTGCTTGCTAAAGTGATTACTCTTATATGCTTACGTCTACTGCACAAAAAACGCCTACAACACAACTAAAGTTAGAAACTGTCTTAGATATTAGTCCTTGATTCTATGTAAGAAGAATTAAAAGGATTTTACCGCAAGCCAAATACCGCATTTCAGAATATCAAGTGGCTTATGCCTAGTTCTCATATGTTAATGGATACGTGAATTATTTTTATGAGATTCCTACCAGTTAAGGCCAGAAGAGAGCACATTACCCAGTTGAAGATTTAAAATATTTTACTTTCATCACAATGCACACATACAGCTGATCGGAATCTCTGTGAAAATGTGCTGGTGTTCGTCAAGCACCAGACATGTATAAGAATTAATGTTTCTCATGGGCCTTTGGGAACTAGGTTTTAGTGAAAATGAGCCAGTGACTTTGGTCTTCCCTCAGGCTTTGCTTGGTTCATTTAGAAGAAAGAAAACGGAAGAATGGAAGATGAAGATCTATAATGCCACAAACTAGAAAATACACCTTTTACACGCACACACACACACACGCACACATGCACGCAGACCTACACCTAAACTACCCATTGTAAAGTTAGCCTTACTTTTTCAACTTTAATTTTGAAATGTTATTTATTAATCATTTTATAAAACCACAGTTTTAAAGGATATTAAGATTGTCTCATAGTTCTCTCTTCTTTTATTTGTGCAATTTAACTTTTGATGTATTAATATCCTTTTTGGGGGTGCAATTTAGTTTAAAAGAAAGAGGAAAAACATGCCCGGCTGTGCGCTCCTGATGGCACTGCTTGTTAGGAGGATGCCGGCTGGATGCAGTCTCCATCTCCTCCCTTGGGCAGCTTCTGTTTTGCAGTACAGAGACTGAACAGCTGGATGTGACAATCTGGTTGTCAGTGAGATGAGAATAACAAAATAAACAAAGACCAAAAGAGAAAAGAATTTTGAAAGCATGAGAACAAAGTGAATTTTACTAACAGGCTAAATACTTTCTGCTTAAGCAGGGAATGACTGAGTCGTAGGAAAATGAAAAATCAGTGGTAAACGGACACTGAAAAAGCTAACAGGCATTTGAAGAGATGAGGTAAGATCATAAGTTCTTAATTTCACAAGATGTGAGCCACTGCTTTTTCTTTGTGATTACTTTAGAAATTGTGGAAGTGTTTCTGAGCAGTGTAATAAACGATCTTACGAAAAATGGTATTTCAAGACTTTCTATAAAAAACATTAATCTCTTTCTATTTGGATTTACAATTACAACTGAATATGAAAAATGTGCAGCTGCTGGTATGTTTGGGGGCATTCATCTCTGAAAACTTTTTGATCTGTATCATGTAGAAGATATTTTCTGTAAACCAGTAACATTTTCCTTCATTTAGTCATATCATAGTTTCAGTCTCAGTGAATATTTAAACTAAAACAAATAAGAAAGTTAAATCAGACTAATAGAAAATGAATTGGAAAATCTGTACCTAGCATATTTGGGAGATACCATCCATGATTTCACTGAATCTCCACTACTCAGTTTCCAAATCCCTGCTCCAGCCTAGAAGTGCACCTTGGGCAGTAAAAGAGAACCAGAACCCCAGCAGAGCCACAGATGCTGAAAACAACGGATCTGTGAGTGGCCCACAACCTCGTGGCGGCAAACCGCCAGTCTGTGTGAGCTTGTAACATATAGGACTGCTTTTAAGAAAAGGAGTAAATGAAAAGTGACAGAAGGCATTACTGAACTTTCTTTACAACAAAATCACCATCCATTTTGGAAATGTCAAACATTTCATGTATTTCACAAGAGGATTCCAGATTGTTTATTTGGTCAATAAAATGGGAAATTCACTCTTCAGTCTGGATGATGAAATCTGTTTGTATGTCAGAAAAACCCCCAGCAATTCACAGGAAGTTCCAGACTCGTCAGAACACAATGCAAGTTACAGAATCCTTCACAAAGCCCTGCCAGTGGGAAGCTGCCTCCCTTAGACTCAGGCTAGAAAACAAATGAAGCACTTGCTGTTTTAGTTTTGTTCCTCAAAAAATACTGTTGTCAGTTACTGCGTATCTAACAAGACACAGGGAAAGGGACCTGTTAGCAGTGAATCACCTGCGATTGGTTTTTACCTATAGGAAGAGAAAATATGCTTGTTGTCTTACTTTATGGGATCCTATACTCCTTAATCACTGTGTGATATAACCCAGGAACTTCATGCCTACTGTTTTCATTATCACCAACAAATAAACTTGAATGCACTGTGCTAATCCAGTCACCAGATTTAATTCTGTGTAGCTAAAGAATGCCAGAGTGTTGCCTTTAGTGGCTCAATTATATGACATAGGTATAAAGGACTGAATAAAAATCAAAATAATATCAAAATATTTTAAAGCCAGCATTGGATTCTCATTCTAGAATTTTCAAAGTGTTTCTCATTTTTCAGACAGACTTCTATCTACTTAAAAGTCATACATGAAAAGAAAGATCCATAAATTTAGAGAAACCAAGGAGGTCTAGATGAAACCTGTGGTTCATTATATTGCATAGGATGAAACTAACTTGAAAGAAGATTCATTGCTGCTCTAGTGATCTTGTTATAAACATCCTAAAGTTTCCTTGTTTTCTGTTTATCATTATCTCATTTCTTCTCTCATTCTATATCTTAAGCACTTAATAATAATGCCCTACATGTAGTTGATAATCAATTCTTTCAGGATTTTATCTCTCATTAAATTAGGGTACCCT